ACCACTTCTCAAGATAAGAAATACAAACATGTATAGATAAGAACTTAATAGCATTTTTTTCAAATGAATTTCTTTCAGATATTATTAAATTTGGTAATGCTTGATTAACTTTAAATCCCAAAAATTTGTCTGTTATTTGGATCTTCAAACTATCTCTAAAGCAACAAAGAGTATTATGCAAATCAATAACGGTGATAGTATTACTCTCAAATTTAGCAATAAAACATTAAATAAATTCATTATATTATGAATAAAATATAAATAACATTCTGGAAAAGTAAGATTTGAAGAAATATCTTCATTTGCTTCATTGCTTCGATCACTTATAAGTCCTAGAATTACTTGATGAATATTATCGTGTTCCAAAAAATATAAGTTTTAATCACTGGCCTGCATTTTAGTAACCTATCTACAGCTGGATACAAAGTAAGCCATCTGATTGGAACATGACGAAGAATGTCTTCATATTCGAGATTTACAAAATCAAAACATTCTTTCAGTTGTTCAATATTTTGTGCATTAATAGAGAATTCATTGTAAACTTTAATGACTAGATTCTCTATATCATAAGGCAATTTTTTGTTTGCTTGTCTAATACTATTATTTAAAATATGACATAAACAATTAGGTTAGGTTAGGTTAGTTGCTACAAAACCAGAATTATGTTCATCTTTCAAAAGTTTATATACTGAGTGATGTTTATCAAAATTTACTGAAGCATTATCAGCTAAAAATGAAATCATATTTCTTTGCTGATATGCCAGATTTAACCAAAATTTCTTTAATTTTTTGAGAAATTGCAATTGCTGTTTCATTGGCATCTTCATAAAATTCAATAATTTTATTTTGAATAGATCAATTGTAAAATATCTAATAATTAAAGGAAACATTTTTTATTACCATGATTACTAACATCGCATGCAAGAATAAGGAATCAAAAGTAACTGGTCTATCTGTGGAAGATACAGTTGAAGTACTGGTTCTAGGTTCATTAATTGACATAATTTGAGAAACAGAACTATTTTTTAAATCATATAAAATATCTTGTAGACTTGCTTTAGCCAAAATATTTTTAACTATTGCTTCTATTTTTGTTCTACCACATTGTAATTTTTGTGCTAATTTAGAGTCTGAAAAAAGTATTTTGGCATTTTTAGTAAAACAATCTGCACTATTATAACTATGTTTGACCGAATGGTATGTAAAGGAAAGTTCACATAAACTAAGAGATTCATTTTCCGGTGTATTTTTACTTTAAAAAAATTTATGAAGTAATTGATTTTGTTTCTGTTAATTGCCTACATTTTTATGTGTTAATGAATTTAAATGTTGTTTAATTGCACTGATCCCATCGTATTTTACAGTAAAACGTATTCGACATATCTGACATTTTGCATTTCTTCATTATATTTTATAAGCCACGATTTGAAATTTTCATCTTTAAGCCAATTATCATTGAAAGAATAAAAACGTTTTACTTTTTTCTTTGGCGTTAGTTGATTCATTTTTAACAAATTTGAAGTCCTGTAACAAATTATTTTGGTAATTAATTACATTAAGCAACATTCTAATGCTCTTAACCTTGAGTCACAAGGAGCAAAAATGATGTAAATCAATTCTTTTCTATTATAATTTAAATTGGAATTACAGAAAGAAAAAAAGAGAAAGAGCAGCTCTCTGTCTGTGATGCTAATTTAAATTAGGAAAAATTGACTCATATTACTTTTGCTCTCAACGACTTATATGATATCTGTGTTGCTTGCATTTTTTGCATTTTCGCTTTGTTTCTTTTTAACATCTAAATATATATTTATTTTTTACAGTGCAAAAATTTTTGGGAATTTCAAATAACGCGAACAAATCTATGTGTAAAAATTCGAGTTGGAATAACCTTTACATGTACATCAAGACCAAGATTTTAGTGTAAATAATTCAAACTTACTTTTAACTGTAAAAAATATTGAGTCACGGATTAAAATTGTTGATAGATTACGTGAAATGATTAATAGTCAATGATTGACTTTTTACAGTAGATCAATCAAATCTGTTTTTCTAAAACTAATCACTACAGTTCAGATCTTAGTGACGTTCTTCTCCACTACTAGAGCGCCACGAGTGGACAGTCTATTAAATAATTTGTTAAAGCACTAAATTTCATTTTATTATTTCGATGTAAAACCATACATATGGCGTCCGGTTTGACTTATTAACCGGACACCGGATAAGACTCCTGAAAACCGACTCCTGACAATCCGGGTCAAAACCGGACGGTTGGCAACTCTAGTTTCATACGTCTCATCAAAGATTGTCTGACTTTTTAAAAATTCCAGGTATTGCTCGAATTTTCCAGCAACCATCTTCAATACGTTGACAAAGTATCTCGATATTGTCAATGGATGTTTTGTAAACAATGGATTTTATATGCCCCCACAAGTAATAATCGAGTGGATTTAGGTCTGGAGAGCGAGCTGACCAGGTAATTGGACAAGCACGGTCTATCCCTCTACCAGGAAACCGTTCATCCAAATAACGTCTAGTTTCTCGACTGAAGTTGGTCATATTGGACATATGTTTATATGAACATTTTCTCTTATTTTTGTGTTCTGAATCCACCATTGCAATACTTCCCACTTTTTAGGATACACCCTGTATGATTAAAAGATGAGTTTTTTTATGCTTATGACATGATACTTGTTTTGTGAAAAATGTTTATTAATTCATTAATTCATAAAAATGCTTTATTTTTATGAATTAATGCCATAATAATTTAATATAAATGTTAAAAAAAATTAAGATTAAATTTGCTGGAGGCTTGCCCCGGCCCTATTTTAGGGTCCATCCGCCACTGCTATTTGGTACAGTGGGGATTTTAGTATACAGGGTGTCCCATTTTAATGCCCCACCCCAAATAACTTTCTTATTTTTAATTTTAGAAAAAGATGTTTCAGACAAAAGTTGTATGGTTTCGAGGGGGACATAAGATGGTACCATTAATTTGATCTTGAAGAGTCACATGAAGGTTACGTGAAGATCATTTTCAATTTCTTAAATGGAACACCCTATATATTTTTGCATATTCTTGTAGCTTATCTCGAGAGCTTTCCAAAACACTATAATTAAATTAGTTTTCATTAAGTACTTTCCAAGTTATGAGGCTTGAAATCATTTTTTAATTTTACATAAACCATAAAATATCTTGTAAAATATTCATTTTTTGATTATCTTACTTTAATACTTTTATGTACAAAATAATGAGAGAAATCCATTGGTGCAAAGAAAACATACAGTTGTTTTTAAGAAAAAAATATGTAATTTGCAATTAACAATTCCATATTTTTTCTTAAAAACAACTGTATGTTTTCTTTACACCAATTGATTCCTCTCATTATTTTGTACATAAAAATATTAAGGTAAGATAATCGAAAAATGAATATTTTACAAGATATTTTATGGTTTATGTAAAATTAGGAAATTACTTCAAGCCTCATAATTCGAAAAGTACTTGATGAAAAAATGTTTATTTATAGTGTTTTGGAAAGCTCTCGAGATAAGCTACAAGAATATGCAAAAATATATAGGGTGTTCCATTTAAGAAATTGAAAATGATCTTCACGTAACCTTCATGTGACTCTTCAAGATCAAATTAATGGTACCATCTTATGTCCCCCTCGAAACCATACAACTTTTGTCTGAAACATCTTTTTCTAAAATTAAAAATAAGAAAGTTATTTGGGGTGGGGCATTAAAATGGGACACCCTGTATACTAGAGGGATCTTGGGGAATGTGGCCACTTTACGGCGTTGTACTCGTCGATGCCGTTTTCATACGGAAGGCTAGTCGGAAGCCAGCATGCACGCAAATACCTCCACCGGCACTTATTTGATCAGCGAGCGACCTTTCAGGGATCCTCCATAGCAATCGGCATTGCATCCATCAAGTGAGATCAACATCGCTCTGAAGTCGCATGTTACTGTGTTAAAAAGCAGCATTAGATGTGAGGTTTGGATAGCTCAGTAGTCTAGAGCAGTTGCCCGGAAAGCAAAAGACTCGGGTTCGATTCCCGATCCAGCCACTCACATATTTTTCTAGTCTGCGAATATTGTTTTCTAGCAATTATTTGTTAGGCTGAAAAATGTGTGAATGTTCTCTCCACAGAATATGCGTCGATGCCGTTGCCATGGATGAATTCTGTCACTCGTTAATCAAATGGGCGTAAGACACGTCCTCTTCTTACATACATCTCTATCTTTTTCTGGAATGGCTTAATCAATGTGCGATGCTGATATAATTATAGCAAAATATTTACTTATACCTATAAATATAAAAATAACATAAAATACATAATTATTACATCTTATATAAATACATGCAACATAATAATATTTATAGAAATTTAATTTACCTACATTTATTCATATTTTATATGAAGAGTAAATAAAAAATATTTAACAACTTTAATCTTTCATACCTTTGGATCAAAAATAAAATAAAAGATTAAAATTTTTTAAAATTTAAAAAGAATTTTAATAGTTATCTTTTGTTCAGAGTGATGCTTATTCTTAACTTCCATGCAAAAAAGCAAAATAATATTAGCTTATAAATCTTAAATGACATTAAAAATCGAGTAAACATTCATTTGAAAGTTTTCAAAATGACTATTACAAAAGGTCGCTGCCACTTTTTAACTCAGAGTTTTGATCATATGAACAAAAAATAACTTTTATAATCTCAGAAAATCCTTCAAAATTTCAATCCTCTCTTTGCTTTTCTCTTTTTCCTTCCTCCTCTCGCCATTCTCTTTTTTTCTCTCTCCTTCTCTCACTAACTCCTTTTCCTCTCCTTTTCTCCCGATCCTTTCTTTTCCCTTCCGTCTTATTCCTTCCGCTCTCTCTTCTTTCTCTATTCTGAAAGTATATTCGGACTTTTAGTCATCTTGTCAAGACCGAGATGATCCATGCTGTGTGGTTTTTGTAAAAATTTATATTTTTTGTGTAAACAGAACTCCGCTCCTAGGATAACGCCTAATGGTTCCCCACCTAGATTCAGTGCGAGATATAAAGGAGCGGAATTGTTTGTGAAAAAACCGTCTCCTGATCAAGTTGTAATACCATCAATCACAACATCATCGACTACGGTTTCGACACTGATAAAGGTAAGACTTTTAAGTATTTTGAATAAAATTGAATATTTTCAGGACATCTGAAGCTGTTTTTAATGTATAATATTGTAATTACTTTTTAATTACAATATTAAGTACATAATCAAATAAAAAGTGATAGATAAATTTCCTAGCTTCAACATTATACTTTAATGCCAATAATTATGTTGATAAATATCAACACAATTTTCACTTTAAGACTGTGATATAAGATATGATAATATTACTGATAATTATTTCATAATATATCATTATAATTATAGCGTGTTACATGTGTTAATTATTCTCAAAAAAATTTTTACTTCTTCTTAGAAGTGATAAAAATGATGTTTACTATGTATTTTACATTATTAGCTAAATATTATAACTGATTTCAAACATTATCTTAATGCAAAATTCTAAAACGGGTATTTGTATTTGTATTTTATGTGCGTTTATACGTATGTATATTTACTCTGTTATGCTATTCTATATATGCAGAATATATTCTTCATACACTAGTGGAAAAAATTAAGGGATCAAAAAAAAATTCCAAATTTGTTGCGATTTTTCGAATGGCTGTATCTTCGTTAAAAATGGTCGTATCGGAGTTGCAAAAAAAGCAAATTGAAGCGCCAAGTGTCTAGTTTAGAGTTCTTTTGGCCGAAAAATTTTCGAAGCCCCAGATTTGACGCAATCCTAAGAAATAGTGAAAAAAAAATTTTGCAAATTTTTTCATTTGTTTTTTGAAGTCCACAGACTCGGAAAAAAATTTTTTAGCTAAACCAGTGCATGTATCCGATAGCTTGTTTATTCAGCTTTAATTTGCTTTTTTTAAAACTTTGATACGACCATTTTTCGCTGAGATATCGGTCTTTGAGTGAAAAAGGACCCTTTTGGCTTTGATCATCGGTATCTCAGGAACCAATGATCGCACAGAAAATCTAAGGGTGGTTCCATAATCTGGAATAAATTCTCTAAAAGGATTATGATATTCACGAAAAAAATTTTTTTTTAACTTTCACATGAATTTGAAAAAACAGGAAAAAAAAGGCAATTTGGGGTTTTTTAGAAAATCAACGGCTAAATTACAAATATTGATAAAACGACTAATGTTAAGTGTGCCTTTTACAGTTCAATATACCCACAAAAACCCTGTAAAATTTCATTTTGATCTATCCAACCGTTTTTCTGTTTCGAACAATCAAAATTTTGAAAAAATTAAAGGATCACGTTTTTTGCTCTTAAACGCTCATAATCTTCAACAAAATGGAAAAAAAATTTTTTTTGAGCTTTTTTCATACTTTTACCACAAACAGCGTTCAAATTTAAGGTAACCAAAAAAAATGTCTGTGTGTGTGTGTGTATGTGTGTTTCTTTAGGAGAAATGAGACCCGTTGGCTCGTCAGTTCCACCGTATTTAACGACTCCAAACTCATTCTCCAAAGAGTGTGTATGTATGTGTGTGTGTGTTTGTATCTGCGTCTGTCCGTCTATCAGTTCCCATTTAATAACGGGTATTGCCCTGTTCTCAATAACGGCTCTCAAGCGTTCAGCCATATTGATGCAGCGGGTAATCTCAGGCTGCGGAATGGTGTTCCAAATTTGCTGAAGTGCGCGCTCTAATGCGGCTAAGTTCTGCAAATTTGGATACTCCCTGCGCAACCGACGGCCCATTATGTCCCAAACATGTTCAATGGGGTTGAGGTCTGGACTCATTGCTGGATGTCGCAGTAATGTGATGTCGTGCCGTTCAAGGAAACGTCTGGTGATATTGGCTGTGTGTGGACGTGCGTTATCTTGCATTAGAATGAACGATCTCAGATGTTGTCGTTTGCGCAGTACAATTGGTCTTAAAATTTGGTCAATATAGCGCCTAGCCGTTAAATTTTCGCGAACAATCACCAAAGGTGTTCTCCAATTTCGCGAAACGCCGCCCCACACGTTGTAAGAGATCACGAAAAGTAAAAAAAAGTAACACGATTTCGTTACTGCATTCCGTGATTCTGCTGATCAACTTTAAATTAAATTTAAAAAAAAATTGATACTCCCAATTGAATTTCGACCTCGATTTACACGCTTTTCAGAAATTGCTTTTTTTTACTTTTCGTGATCTCTTACAACGCTTAAAAAAAACAGTTTTTTTCAAAACTACTCTTTTTGCAGTGAAAAAAAAATTTGGGAAAATTTGCCGAAATCGAAAATTATTTTTGATTCCTTATCATGGTAAGACGGCAGTTATCGGAGCCGGAAGTTGCTCGTTTAGTAACTCTAATTGAAAAAGGTTACAGTCAACGTGCTGTTGCCATTCAGATGGGTGTTAGTCAATCCGTCGTATCTCGTGCTTATGCCCGATACCAGGAGACGAACGGATACAATCGTCAACCTGGACAAGGTCGCCATCGTGTCACTACTCCTCGCGATGATCGGGCAATTGTTCGACAAGTTCGACGTGAACCTTTTAACAATGCGAATATCGTGGCACGGAACTTCCCGAATCGGAGACAACAGCAACAACAACAGCGACAAGGACAGCGACAGCGACAGCGACTACGAAACATTTCCTCCCGAACAGTCATCAACCGTCTTCGCGAAACTGGGTTACATGCACGACACCCTAATCGTGTACCCATGTTGACAGCGAGACATCGCCGAGCTCGTTTAGCGTATGCTAACGCACATCGGGGTTGGACTTTAAGGCAATGGGGAAATGTTTTATTCACTGACGAATCCCGTTTTAATCTCTATGGCAGTGACCGACGTCCCCTTGTTTGGCGCCGTCGTGGAGAACGTTTTCGCCAGAACTTCGTCCGTCCGGTTGTGGCCTACGGCGGTGGATCGGTCATGGTGTGGGGCGGCGTTTCGCGAAATTGGAGAACACCTTTGGTGATTGTTCGCGAAAATTTAACGGCTAGGCGCTATATTGACCAAATTTTAAGACCAATTGTACTGCGCAAACGACAACATCTGAGATCGTTCATTCTAATGCAAGATAACGCACGTCCACACACAGCCAATATCACCAGACGTTTCCTTGAACGGCACGACATCACATTACTGCGACATCCAGCAATGAGTCCAGACCTCAACCCCATTGAACATGTTTGGGACATAATGGGCCGTCGGTTGCGCAGGGAGTATCCAAATTTGCAGAACTTAGCCGCATTAGAGCGCGCACTTCAGCAAATTTGGAACACCATTCCGCAGCCTGAGATTACCCGCTGCATCAATATGGCTGAACGCTTGAGAGCCGTTATTGAGAACAGGGCAATACCCGTTATTAAATGGGAACTGATAGACGGACAGACGCAGATACAAACACACACACACATACATACACACTCTTTGGAGAATGAGTTTGGAGTCGTTAAATACGGTGGAACTGACGAGCCAACGGGTCTCATTTCTCCTAAAGAAACACACATACACACACACACACAGACATTTTTTTTGGTTACCTTAAATTTGAACGCTGTTTGTGGTAAAAGTATGAAAAAAGCTCAAAAAAAATTTTTTTTCCATTTTGTTGAAGATTATGAGCGTTTAAGAGCAAAAAACGTGATCCTTTAATTTTTTCAAAATTTTGATTGTTCGAAACAGAAAAACGGTTGGATAGATCAAAATGAAATTTTACAGGGTTTTTGTGGGTATATTGAACTGTAAAAGGCACACTTAACATTAGTCGTTTTATCAATATTTGTAATTTAGCCGTTGATTTTCTAAAAAACCCCAAATTGCCTTTTTTTTCCTGTTTTTTCAAATTCATGTGAAAGTTAAAAAAAATTTTTTTTCGTGAATATCATTATCAATCCTTTGAGAGAATTTATTCCAGATTATGGAACCACCCTTAGATTTTCTGTGCGATCATTGGTTCCTGAGATACCGATGATCAAAGCCAAAAGGGTCCTTTTTCACTCAAAGACCGATATCTCAGCGAAAAATGGTCGTATCAAGGTTTTAAAAAAAGCAAATTAAAGCTGAATAAACAAGCTATCGGATACATGCACTGGTTTAGCTAAAAAATTTTTTTCCGAGTCTGTGTACTTCAAAAAACAAATGAAAAAATTTGCAAAATTTTTTTTTTCACTATTTCTTAGGATTGCGTCAAATCTGGGGCTTCGAAAATTTTTCGGCTAAAATAACTCTAAACTAGACACTTGGCGCATCAATTTGCTTTTTTTGCAACTCCGATACGACCATTTTTAACGAAGATACAGCCATTCGAAAAATCGCAACAAATTTGGAATTTTTTTTGATCCCTTAATTTTTTCCACTAGTGTAGTTTAAAATATAATAATTAATAATATATTAAATATTAAATAATATATTAAAAATTAATAATATATAATATATTAAAAGGCCTTAACAAGTTAGGATAAAAAAGTGACGGAAGGTCTCAGGTAAGGCAATACCTGATGTTAATGATTCTTTTCAGAAGAAATTATGTGAGGTAATTTTCTGTGCTTAAAAGGTTTTCCCTACGAAGGTACCAGAGGATTCTGAAGCGATTATACTGTCATCATGGACCAATTCTGCCACAACTTCACTGAACAATTTCATTCTTAATAATATCCATATAAATAGTTTACGTTAATCATCATTACGTCTATCATCCTTTATCATAATGAGAAATAATTTTTATCGTTGCTCATGTTTTTAATTATTTTATTATTAATAACAATTTTAATTAATATAGTCTGTGTTCATTTGTGAATATCATTGCATTACCGCTTGAAAAGAGCACATAAATATAATTATTGCACATACAATTTATTAAAAATAGAGTTGATTTCTAAACCTCATTAGGAATGATGTTTTAACACCTTATTAAAATAATGCTCTGTATCTGAAAAAAAGATGATTTACTAACTTCGATCGAAAAAAAATTAATGCACTATCGTCGAGCATGATCATGTTATCTCACATGTTATCTCTCGCATTTTTGGTATTGCCGTAAGTTTATGTACGTGTGCAAATATTGTATCATACACAATTTTATATATATATATATATAT